ATTTAAGTTTTTTTTTCTCTCTCTTTCTGTTGCTGTGTGTTTTTAAGATCAGTACTCCAGGAATGAGCATGGCGAATGAACTGGACAAAGTGAACGACCGGTTCAAGGTTGGGTACCATGAAAGGAACTAGATCAGGAAAATCCCCATCATTTGGGGGAAAAAATCCACAGAAATCCCAAGTCCCAGTGACTCAGGTCATTTCAGCATAACAGTGGGCAATTCTTTCATTCCTCAAGCTTTGAGATACGGAGTTGCGGAACATAAGCCCTTTCCTCGGTCTCTCCAGAATGCTGAAAAGAGGGATACAGTTCTGTTGATGGGAAGCAGAAAACTCACAGGCATGGCTGCTGGATTCACACATGCGTATCATTCCCCTCTGATCTGCCCTATAAATGCATGTGCACCCCACACAGGCGTATCTGTGCAAGCTACACACACTCCGCTCACAAGTTAGAACAGCCGTTTGCTCTACCTCATCCAAACAGGCTGAGGAAACTTTATGGGTCCTCACCCATACGCAACTCATTCAGTGTGGGCTGGAGCAGGTCTGCTATTAATTATCCAGCGCTCTCCATTGGAATAAGTGGTTAATCCCAAGGAGGTTTACACTGGAGAATGACCAACCTGCCCCAGGGGTGGATACAGAATCAGCCTTGGCTCCACACTATTTCACATCATGTGTTGTGCAAATGTGCCCTGGAACAAGGAACAGGCACTATTCCACAGCAGACTAACACCCTATGCAAGTGTACTCCAGCATAGAACCCAAGCACTGAGGTGTCTAGATTCCTTTTGTGAAAACCAATATTGTCTTCATTCTCTGACTGAATGTTCTTCTTCATTCCTCCACCTGCTCTTTCCTCTTTCCACCCGATTCTGCAGACTCAGAAACAGGCGACCTTGTCCCTACAGACCCTACACAGGTGGCCAGATAGCTTGGGTCCTCAGTTTTCAGTCTTATGGCAGTGGTCTCATTTGGATCTGGGTTTGGATACATAGCTACAGCAGCAAACACAGTAAAGTAAAATAGCAAACACCCAGATGTGTAAAGAATTTGTGTTATACTTCCTTAAAAAAATGTACTTCAGCTTTGAAGGTTTTCCTGTGTGATATCATGGGCATTGCTTTAGATACTATTTGAGAAGGTGTGTGGGACAGGATTTTAAACCTGGAGCCAAAGGAACTCAAGGATAACACTAAGGAATTCAGATAGTGAGTGGAAGCTGAGGTTGTCTTTATTTTCTCATCTTGGTATCAGCATTCCTTACAGATAGTCTGGTTGTTGGAAGGCATGCAGTAAGCACTCTTAGCCCCTGAGCAACTTCTCCATGTCCACATTGGTCCCTTTATTTGTCCTCAGAGACTTCTGTGCTGGGTTTTCACCATCATGGATTAAAGTTCCTGGAGGTATTCATAGCCACTTCTCCCTTACATGTTGACAACTAAGTGCTGCAGTGACATGGGGTAGGGGGAGAAGGCGGCAAAAGCTCCAGTGTGGGCTATTCACACATAGGTGGATTGTCTACCACTGTAACACATTGAAACCAAAATTATCTTGTATTTCCTAAACAAACACTGGAGACCACAGGGTCTACTTTGGGTTAAGTAACTGTTACTTTAGGAGACAGCTTTTGGCTGGGCATGGTACTTAGAATCACAGCACTTTGGAGATGAAGGAGGAAGGATCACAAGTTCAAGACTAGCCTGGGCTACCTGGAGACCTTGTCCCCCAAAGCAAGCCATTTGTCTATGTTTGGATCTGGATTCAGTTCTTCCTTTTTTTTTTCCCCTATTCATTCTTCTCCCCGCCCCAACGTGCAACCATTCACATTTCAGAACCTGTAACACTGACTTCTACAGACATGCCTGCAGGTAAATGCAGAATGGAGGAGGTATTTGGAGAAATCCAACGACACTTTGGTGAGGAGACATCAGAAGCCATTCTCCTGCTACAATCTTGTTGTGCTTCCTAAGAAGCAGAATTGCTGTGGAACTTCAGATCAGAGAGAATTGAGAGACAGGGGAAGCAGCAGGAGGCCTCAGTTAGAGTCAGAGAAGCTCTGGGAATCTGCCAGGTGACCTGATGTCCACAGTATCTCTAGCCCCTCTGAGCAGACTGCTCATTCATTGGTGCCACCTTGCCACAGGAGTGGGTCTTAATGAATTTCGCTTGTTTCTTTCATGGTGCTTGAACTTACTTTTGGGTTTAGATTTTTAAATTATGTGTATATCTGTACGAAAGAATGCGCCTGTGTGAGTGCAAGTGCCGGCAGAGTCCAAAAGATGTTGAATTTCCTGGTGCTAGAGTTACAGGCAGTTTGTGAGCTGCTCGATATGGGTGCTGGAGACTCTGGTTCTTCGGAAGAACAGTATTGACTTAATCATTGAGCCATATCTCTAGCACCCCGGCCTGCCTGAAAAGACAGTCCGTGTTGTCTCTGTGCAATGGGAACTATCAGGTAAGGCCCAGGATGTGGACTGATGTCTAGGACAATGCCTCCCTCATGATGGTCTCCTGAGAACTCCCATTTTTTTTTTTTTTCCTATAGTGATACAGGCTTGCTAGCTGAACTTCACCACTCAATGGTTTCATTCTCTTTTCCACAAAGGGAGTGAGAATTACTGTCCTGTGATTTCTGGCATTTCCAGTGGAAAGGAAACAGAGGAGGCCAAGTAATGGCAGAACTTGTCCAGCTGGACCTTCAACTACAAAAGCATCATAGTTCCCTCTTTGCCAACGACCAATCCTTCCCTGGTGCCCATCCCTTTCCCATCCAGTGTAGGATGGCCTTCAACTGGGGAAAGTCAGATTGCTGTCGAAGGAGGGATAAATGGCAGGTGCTGCTGGGAACTCTGAAGGAAGTCTTTCACCTGCCTCCTCAGTCAAGGGGTGGGGAATGTATCCTCAATATCTCATGGCATGACATCTGTATTTTTACAGGGTCTCATCCCAGGCTATCAGGTCAAAATTTGCCATTAAAAAAAAAAACAAAAACAAAAACCTAAGTTTCCAGGTAAGCTGCAGGCATTACAGTTTGAGTAGCACACTCTTCAAACTCACTGGACTGGGTCTGCAAACTAGTGCTCATGGATCAAGTCTGGCCAGCTGCCTGTGTTTTTAATTCACACTTTGCTGGAACACAGCTTCACTTATTTATGAATTGTTGGTGGCTGTTTTCATGCTACCATGGAAGAACTGAGTTGGTTACAGCCGAGGATGCAGTCGCAATGCCTTAAACATTCCCTTTCTGACCCTTTACAGAAGCTTTCTGGCTACTGTATTAGGCTAAAGAGTCCTCAAAAAAAAAAAAAAAAAATGAGAACCTGACTGGAGTTCTTAGTACAGTGGTTATGTAAGTGTGCTTGAGGAGAGACTGGTGAGATTTGTGTCTCGGCTCTATCACTTCCTTGTTCGTAAGTGGTGTGTCACATGTCAACTTGTCACGCTCCACATCTATAAAACAGAACATGGCGGAACTTACCACACAGTGTTGACTTCTTTTGTTCAATGATAATATATGCAAAGTGCTTCAAGTAATGACCTCAACAAATGGCAGCTCTTAGGCTTTCATGGCAGACTTACAGGTAGAATGACTCCCTAAGGAGACAATATATATCAATGCACACTCATTGCTTCTTTCTTAATAAACTTCTTTTATCTGTCTGACCTTCATTTAGTACTTGCTATGTATGTCCTTGGGAGTAAGCAGGACTGCAAGCCAACTGTTCTTAATGAGCATGGACTGGCACCAGGGGTGGGGTAATAAGTAAGGCCATCTCTGGAAGAGTTCCTGAATGGAGCCCTCATTCTTTGAAGGAGATGGCCTATCCTTTCAGGCAGTGGGTCTGGATGAGATGTCAGGAGACATAGTAAAGCATGGGTCAGGGAGACCTCAAATGTTTGGGGTGGGAGAGCAGAAAAATAAACAACAAAAACGGCTTTTGTGGGGTCCCACGGTTGTTGAATCAATGAGCCCCTGGGACTCAATGACTTAGGCACTGAACTTATGGAAGAAACTAGAGGAAAGTACCATTTTCCTAGTACCTTCATTCCTGCCAAGAACACCCTACTCATACAGCCAGGGACTGTGTCCACATTGTCACCCTATCTAGGACCTAACAACTGTTAGGTGCTGAGAGCAAAGGAAGACTGCCATTTGAAAATGAATAAGCTGAGGAAAGCAATGGAGGACTAGAGCAGCTCTGGGTTATACAAATGAAAACCACAGTGGAGCTGCACCCTACATGTGTATGGGAGGCATTATTGAAAGCGTGAGCGCACACATCACTATGTACCGTTGGTAGAAATGGAGCTGGTACACAGAACAATGTGAAGGTGCTTCAAAAATTAAAATATGATTACATAATCTAAAATCATACTTTTGGGTACATTTATCTAAAAGTCTTGAATGTGGGGTTCCACAGGAATACTTGCAGTCCCATTTTTATTGCATTCACAATAACCAAAAACTGAAAGCAGCCTAAATGTCCATCACTGGATGAATAGATGAACATGTAGAATATCCATAAAACAGAATATTGTTGAGTTTAAAAAAAAATATTGTTGAGTTCTTAAAAAAGAACTTTCCATATGGTGTAATATTGATGAACCAGAAACCATAATGTTAAGTGAAATAAGCCCATTTCAGGGCACACACTACACAACTCCACTCACTTGCAGTGTATTTACAGAAAGTGGAATGGCAACCATCAAATCCACCCTCCCCTCCAATTCCAGGGGACAGGAGAGATTGCTGTTCACTGAATATAAAGTTATAGTTATTCATGATGGAAGTCTTGTAGAGTCATGGTGTTTATAGGCAGAACTACATGGCACCCTTACAACAAAAAAGCATGTTGTTTTTTTGCTGGAAACTTCACAATGGAAGTCAGGGTAACTTCCATTAGTATTAAGTTTGTACATGGTCCTCTGCTCAGATTTAGGAGTGTGTTTTCCTTCTAGGTTCTACAAAACATAATCCAGAAGCATGAAAGTGAAAATTGTGGGCTATTAAATATTTATATAATATTATGTAACTAAATACAGCTTTCTTGAACTTGAATAAACAACATTTAGAAAAGGGAGTTGGAGGGAAAGTCACAGGGGAAGTGGCTAACATTTAGAAATTGACAGAAAGAGCTTAGTACCACCCATCCCTCATCTTATACTAGATGTGCAATCAAGACAAATGGATATTGGTCTTATTTCAGATATTAATATTTTGAATTAAACAGTAATATAAGTTAACAAAATGCCAAACAACAAACAAGCAAACAGGAAAGAGATGAAGTGCGCCAGTGTGGGCTGTTTTCCCTGCTTTTGCACTCTCAGCCTGGAGCGTCATCCTGACACCTGTGGCTCTCTCCCATATGCTGATATTGTCTTAACCTGCTACCTAAATTTAGCAGGTCTTCTTCAAAGCCAGATGGGCTTTTACTATTTATATTTATCATTTCCTTCTTGAGGATAGCTTATATTTTGGGGGCAGGTGGAGTAAAAGTGTAGTCTCATGTTCTATATAAATATAAGGAAGTTCTCTGGGCTATAAGCATGAAAAGATCCCTTGGACTTTATTGCCATAGGAGCTCATTTTGTGTTGGGTTATTAACATGTTTGTGTGCCAGGAATGGTAGCAGATTAAAATCGACACACGTGGCTATGGACATGTGGAGAGGTTAGTAAGTGGCAAAGAAGAGTTCTAGAAATCAGGGTTTCTCACCACAAAATAAAGTGGTCCTCCTTACTTCAGTAGCCGCAGGATCAGCTCTAAGGTGTCCCATAGAACCTTACCCCTAGCAAGCACAAAGAGGACAACATATTGCGTTATCTCTACTTCTGAGTGCCTGGGGAAGGGGATACTTAAAGAACTTTGGCGCTATCAAGTCAAGCCTCCAGGCCAAGAAAAGGGGACGAAACTTCATCTCATTTACTTTCTTGCTTTTTGGCAAGAACAGCATGCCAAGCCCCCCAGTGATGTCAGAAGGTAACATACACTTACAAGCCTCTCAGGACAGGAGAACAACGCAAATTCACAACTTTTTTCTATGAACAACTTTAATTGTGTGGTCATCACATATTTCAGAGTCTGTGAAAACCTTGATCCTGACTCTTGATGCTCCCCCCATTCTCACCAGGCTTTTTCCATGTGGATCCTGTGGTTTGGTGAAAGTATGGCTAGGGTTACAGATGCTAATGATCTGAAGGTTGGCTGTGGTCCCCCACTGGCACCATGTGAATGAATGCCAGCTACTCATATGCATTTATTGGGCAGCAGCACTTCTCTTGTGACTTTCTCTCCAACTCCCTTTTCTTCTTACAGTTGCTTTGAGTTGATCCATCTTTCCAATGGACACAGAGCAGTATCCTTTTATTGCTGAGCTCCTGAGGGCTAATTAAATCTTTAAGGAACAGAAAGTAAAATTTGTATCCTGCAAGTTTGCTATATTTTATGCTCAGAGTAAATGATTCTTGCCAAAGTCTTGTGGGGGGATCCCTGCTTATGCCCTGACTTCTATTGTTTGTTCATCCTCAGCCATGGAACAAGTACTTTCCTTTCTCTTTGGAAATTCTGAGGCCAAATATGTAACCTGCCATACAATTCTGTTGAGATAGAGGGAAAGTTATAAATCCAAAACTCATTTGCTCTTGGGTAGAGTCTGGAAGGAAAGTTAACAAAATCTGCTGTGCAACCCTTCACAGGAAAGGGTGTGAAGGGTGGAGTGGATTTCCCACAAGCTTGACAGTGTGCTTTCAAGCCTCCTGGACAGGAAAGTAGAGCCACCCAAGGAGGCGACATTCCTCTAGAAGTCCACAGTGTCAGAAAACAGACAAAGAGTAAGAAGTCCCTTAAGACATACTTTCCTTCCCTCTTCTGGAATTGCTGGGAAACAAGGCAGGGGGAGAGAGTGATCCTGAATGAATATTTAGTTTCCAGGTAGGAAAAGAGAGTTCAGAAGACTGCTTCTCCTCCCAGGAAATCTGGCTATAGTTTTTCTCCTGAATTACCCAATGCTTGTGCACATGCACAGAGCCACCCTGTTAGCAAACCATGATGACGAGAAGGCAAAGATGAAGTCTATGCTTCACAGCTTCCATTCCCAAAGAAAAAAGACCTCCTCAGCAGCAGCAATCTGCATGCCATAAGACTATGGGAACAGATACACATGCAATTAGGCTATGTAGCCCTGTCACACATTACTAAGGAAGAGCTGTTAGGAGTACTGAGCCACTGAGATGGAAGCCAGATAAGCTAGCCTAGCTCCAGAGGGCACAGGCATACTAACTGGTCACTGGGAAGCCTTTGGGGACTGTGTAAATAACTCTTTGCTAAGTGGAAACAGCCATCTTCTTGAGGTTGCCTGAGGAATCTGAGGCAGAGGCGGCTGGGGCAGACTCCTCAACAGAGGCACTGAGGTCCAAGTACTCCAGGATGATGTCTCCAAGGCAGTAAATCAAATGTCTGAAACAAATGCACAAAACAACCAACTGAGAAGAGGGCCTGCCTTACAGAGCTGCCTTAAGCTCCCATCCTATTGAGAATGCTAAGATGCCTTTACTTTACCAGAGCTGCAGATTCTGTAAGGCAGCTGCCATGAGTCAATGTTTACTGCACTACTGAGAGCTACAGCTCAACAAAGACAAGCAGAGTACTTGAGAGCAGACTGTAGAAAATTACATTCTCTACAAATACGACAGCACACCAACTTGACTCTGTAGAATTTGAGAAGGACTGTTGTGGTGTCAGATCACAGTCACCTGTGGCTTGTGATGATGAATCCCTGGGACTTACTCTACATGAACTGAATCCTATGACCAAGAGTTGAGAGATTAAACACTCTGGTGTAGGCTTGAGAGAGCAGGCACAGGGCTCTTAATACTTCCCCAGAGCCTTCCAGCCTTAGAGACAGAATCTACCTCTTCTGAAATTTTTTAGGTTCTAGTCCCTTAATAAGCTTCCACTCTTACTATCCTGTCTATATCTGGTTAAACAATGACAATTTCTGATCTCAATACTAATCACAGCTTTGCTATAATGCTGGGAACCTGTGTTGAAAGTCACCATGTAGCCTGAACTACAAAAGCCAGGGTATGTTCCTGCCACAGAGACTTGCAGATGTTGGGGAAAACCATCGAGCACACTTCTTCAGGATAGTGCTGAAGTGCTAATGTAATTTTGTAAAAAGTGTGTCTTTTTATGAAATTTGGTCACAAGGACTATTCTTGCCTGGAGGTTTTAGAGCATTTTTAGTGGCCCATGCTGGGGTCTGCACTGAGTTCTCCCAAATACAAACAGTGGCTGGTCTTACAGCAGCTTACTACTATGAAGCGTCCTGATCAGAAGCTGGCAGCATGGCTTCCACTGAGTGAGTAGAATCTGGATGCTGGACCCTTGGTCAGCACTAGCCAGGTGCAGTCCTGTGCTGACAGTGGGTTCTGCACTCACTAGCCTTGCTACCTGGGACAGTAGACAGCTTTACCTCTGCTGTGCTGGGTACACGCGTCCCAGCTTACCTGTTGATGAGGGGCTGCTGAAATGATTCCAAGACTAGAGTCCAGCTCAGCAGGCACTTGTTCACCCCCAGGATTTCAACTAAAAAATCTAAAGAAGAAGAAGGAGGAGGAGGAGGAGGAGGAGGAGGAGGAGGAGGAGGAGGAGGAGGAG